GTCTCCATGAAGGGTAAGTTCTATATTCTAAATGGTCACAAAATCAAATCCCTTAATGGCGTTCGATTACTCATGTGGGAGAGGATGGTTGGGATCCTTTAGAAATAAGTATCTTCTGGCCATGCCACCACATATTTAGAAACCAAGACTGATCTCTGCAGGGCTGTCCTTTCTGGATTTTCTGATGGTTGGGTTTTGCCCATTATGATGATGCTGAATTGGATTTATGTGCAGCTTATTCCATGCACTGCAGTTCTTCATTTTGGGCATCTCAGTGCCAAAGTCTATATGTGTGTGAACAGGGAGCTAGGTTGAGTGTTTAGCACTCTCCTATGTGCATTTAACTCTCTATCCTGAACCCCATACTGCCTTTGTAGATGGCCTTATTTATTTCAGTGTGAGGGAAAGGAGGATTACATTTTAGCTCAAGGACACTGAATTAGTATAAAATTCATGGGGTGTAGTCAAACCCAAATTAATCTCATCCCATTTGCCTTCTGGCTAGGTAATCTTGGACTCCTCTGAACCCCATAGTCATCACCTGTAACATGCAGATAATTTTACTAACCTTATGGCAAGGATTAAACAAAATAAAGCTTCTTAAGATCGTTTTAACATTTACAAAGCATCATTCAAACAGATTGAAATCCACACAGACTATTTGTAGAGTTTTAAGGCACATGTGTTAGGTTAAAGGAGATATCTGTGTTTGTAATTTATCCATTCTATTGACAAAGTCAATTTTATGTACCATAGTGTGGGGTGCCTGCCCTCCGTCAACAAGAGGAAGAGGACTATTTTGTGAAGTTTGTTTGTCTAAACATTTTCTCCCTCTTTGCAGGGTGGGCGGTTAGAAAGAGCAAAATAACTTTTTCTTCAAACAAACAAATGCAAGAAATACTTGATTCTAGTTGACAGAACTTGGTAAACAATAGCCAGTTTTTAAATATTGATGACATTGGAGTATAATTGTGTGTGAGTGGTACCTTCAGCAACTCTTGACAGATGAAAATTTATAAAGTGAGAAACACCAGACTAGCCCCGGCTCTGTGCTCCCAAACACAAGAAGGACACCATGATGAGTAGGGAAGCCACCAGGACACAATCCTTAAGGGCTTGATTTTGAAAGTTTTCTAGAGTGGAGCTTTCCATAAGGGGGTTGTTCAGTTTAAGATTCTTCTGTTTCTGGTCAAGGTCAATTTTACAAAGCACACAGAGCCAGAGGGAGGCTTATGTTGGAGAGACACACATCAGGAATCTAGAAAAAGAGGCCATTTCCCCCCTCCTTTCTATATCATCCCATTCCTAGCAACTTACCACAGTGTGCTATGGTTTGCTTTCTTGTCGGGTTTTCCTATGAGTGTTTTTCCAATCACAGTGTTTTACACGAGATGCCTATTATATACTACACACTCGAATCAAAGGAAGAAGGAAAGAAGGAAGCAAGGAATGGCAGAGGGAGAGAGAGGCCATTTGACCCAGTTTGGTCTTGACCTAACAAGCACAAAATATGTTTCAATACGTGACATTGTCAGATAAACAGTTACTACCTGAAGATAATCCTGTCTTTATGACAGAGCACAATACAGACTCTAGATCTGCAGTAATTGCTCAGCACCTGGCTTTGCACCCCCAGGAGCCTTGTTCCTCTGGCCTCACTGTGGGGAGCAACTCGGACTATACTGTTACTGGAATTAAGACTTATTCTATACATCTGCTCTCCCACAATATGGCGCTGGGAGAGGAGCAAACAGCTTCTACCCAGCTGCCTCTCACCAACTTGACAAGCTACAGGAGCTGCTCCTGATTGGAGGAGAGCAGCGTGCTCAGCGTGTGGGTAGCAGAGCACGGATTGGTGGAGAGGACTATATAGGAGGAGAGAGAAGGCATGGTGGTGTGGGTTGGTTGGAGAGTGCGTTGGAGAGTTCGCGGGGAAGTTCGTTGCTTCGTTCTTTCTCATTTCTCTCTACTCATTCTTGCTTTGGGAGTTTGCTGTTTACTTATTCTTACTTTACTATAGAAAGGACTTGTAAAAAAGGGGAACAACAAGCGTCCGGTCTGGTGCGGCTCCTCCGCGTGCGGAGGAGCAGCACCTCACCTTCCCACCTAACTCCAACCTCCTCATGAAACAGCTTCTCTCCACTCCTTGCTCATTCTTCCATTGGCACCTGATTTTTGGCCTCCGCTGAATGTGGTGCTCCAGGTTTGGAGACTGCACCAGTGAACTGACAGGAAGCCCCGAAGGACAGTGTTCTTGATCAAAGCCCAAGGCCCTCACTTCTCTCCTGGACATGAGAAGGGCACACTTGTGCACACCCAGGTGTCTAGACACAGAGCCTCCTTGGAAAGGGAGTCAGAAGTAATGTTTTCAAACAATTCCCCTCTCTGGGTAAGATCTAGGAAGCACACTGGAAGTGTGCTCCTGCATAAAGTCACACCTGAAGCCAGCACAGAGCTTGAAATAAATTTGCACTTATAGAAGTCACTGAATGAATAAATCTCTTGCTAATGCCAAGGTAGTCAAAATGCCTTTCATGAACCTACAGTCAGGATTAGTGAGTAACAGACTAAGGACTTCAATCCACATTTGTCCAGTTCTAAGGGCTTGGTTTGTTTTGTTATGATAGGGTTGGCACTACTCTGGGGACATTTGGATTCTCAGGAACCTTTGCCACAGGAAAGCTGTAGAAGTCATCTTGCTCAGTCAGCAAAAACTGCTTCACTGTTAAATGGTTTGGATGTTGAGTTTCCATTTAATATTTCCTCTGGAGCTTTCCTTTGAAGTCCTACAACTGGCAGTTGAAAAGCCACTTCCACACTGGCACTGCAGTGGAAGCAAATGATCTAATGCCTGTAATTGTCACCTGATTCAACTATGACTGGAGGCCAAGAATTGCTCTGAGATGATCACTGGATATGCTGTACCTGTGTGTTCATATTTCACTGGGGTTGTTTTTTGATGGGCACAAACCTTCAAGCCTTTATCAGAGTTCTGCCACAGGACAGCTGACATTATTGCATCTTTAGGGCTTTTTGTTGACACAATAATAGCATATAATATCATATAGAGGACCACTAAAACAAAAATGCATTTTTAAAAGATTTACTTATTTAAATTTGAAAGGCACAGTTACAGAGAGGCAGAGAGAGAGAGAGAAAGAGAGGTCTTCCATCTGCTGGTTCACTCCCCAAATAGTTGCAATGGCTGGAGCTGAACTGCTCTGAAGCCGGGAGCCAGGAGCCAGAAATTTCTATTGGGTGTCCATATAGGATGCCAGTACTGCAGGCAGTGGCTTTACCCACTATGCCATAGTGCCAGCCCCATATGCATTATTTTAATCAACTTTTTATTTGAGAGGAAAAGACAGAGAAAGAAACATAGACATAAACAGAGCTCCCTTCTGATGGTTCATTCTTTAAATACCTGCAATGGCACGGGGAACACAACTGGGAGCAAGGAAATCAGTCCAGGTCTCCCACATGGGTGGCAGAAACCCAACCTCTTGAACCATCACCCTGGCCTTCCAGGATCTTCATTAATAGGAAGTTGGAGTCAGAAGCAGAGCCAAGAATTGAACTCAGACACTCTACGGGACATAGATATTTAAATGGTGTTTTAAGTGCTAGGCCAAAATACTTGTACCCATGTATGAATTTTTTATGCAGATTAGGCTAAGGTAATAGATTTTTATATATCATTCAATGTAATAGAAGTTTATTTCTAAATTCCTAATGGCCAGGATGGTTCCAGGTCTGTGGGTGGTAAGGGAAGCGGTCTCTGCTTCATTTGAGGATACCAGAATGATAGCAGCTCTCACTGTTCACAAGGTGGTTACAACATTACCTTGGAGAATCATCACTCCAGTCAGCTTTGTAGGTAAAAAAGGTATAAAGGAAAACAAATGGGAGGTTTTTGTGGACCATGGCTTGAAGTGGGATTGTGATTTCACTGGCTTTTGCTCAGTCACATGGTCACACATAACACAAAGGAATCTGGGAAATGTAGTCTAATTCTGTACTCAGGAAAAGTGGGAGAGTGGATTCTATTGTACAGCTAGCAGCCTTCACCACAGTAAGTCAATTGCTGTTAAAGGCAAAGCAGAATTGGTTGACTTCAGGATAAGCACTGGTTTCCCCCAGAAAAATGTGTCTGGGGGTTAAGGAGGGTGGGAGAAAGTGAGATGGTGGAAAAGGCCAGCTCCGTCACCTTTTACTAATCATCAGCTGGGAAGTAAGCCAAGTCTCTACAGTTCTTACTGTCACAGAGTGAAGGAAGCTTTTCTGGTCCTCTGTAAGATCTAAGCAATTTGGGACCATCCTTGCAAAATGATAAGAAACCAAAATTGTATCTACCACCTGGCAATCTGTGCCATGCCCTGAAGCCCGTGAAAGTGGATATCAGTTGCAGATCCTATATGATTCCAAGGAAGGTGTTGGTCTGTGACTTAGTAGTGAGAGACAGATACTATATAAGCTGCTCTTTGAAAATATAACTTATGGCACTCTAAAAAAATATTATTATATTTTGCAACTCATTTGCAAATGCCAAGGAGTCAAATCCAAGTTCAAAGGAAAAGTTTAACTTAGTCATTTAAAAAGTCAAGTGAATAATGGCAATCATCATAATGATTACACAAGTCTTTAAAGTGTTCAAACACAAGAGCTTTAAAAATCTGCATGCACTTGCATATTTTCTTGTTTTTCTACTATTTTCATTCTAAAACCAGAACGTAGGTGGAAAATGTTGTTAGTATCTGGGTGAGGCCCCCTGCCAGCCTAGAAAACCATTAATCTTTGAGATTCTCATCTGCACATTTTTGAAGAACAATGACTCACCAACAGTTACACAGTAATCAGGGCAAAGGTAACTAGATTTTGAATGCTGAAACTTTCCTTTCTTAAGAAAACTTTCACTTCAGGAAGACTGCTATAGGTGAATATGCATGTGTTTATGAGTGAGAAGCAGGGAAAGGAAAGTGAACTGTAATTGAGATATTTACGTTCGGGATTTCCTTTTCCTTCTCAGTTTCTGGGCTACCTTTAACCCAAGGCGAAGGCACTCCTGGGAGCTGCTGTGGACCCCTCTCATTGCTTGTTCTTCACCACTTGATTGAAAGTATACTGGGTCACCTACTCTCCAGAATGTTCTGGGAAAAAAAAAAAAAAAAAACAAGAAGAAAGGCACTCGTTCTTGGGAATGAAGGAAGTGACTTGACACCTCTTCTTTTGCGGGAAGCTAATTCTGACTTGATATTTTGTCTTTTATTCCATTTGTCAAGTAAATTTGATTTTAATTTATCTCAGCTGTTACTGAAATTACTGCTTGAAAGAGCAAACAAGAATGTACCTAGAAAAGAGATCTTGAAAAACTACTAATGTCTTTTTTAAGACTTTGGGAAAAAATACGAAATACATTGGTGAATAGGAAATCAAAATTGCTGGCAATAAAATCAACAAATAGCTTTATATTCTCTTTAACCAAGAGTTATGCTTCCTTCTGCATGTCACCCACTCTCTCCCAGAAATTTACAGATGGATTGGCTCATCAGTAATGGGATAGGCATCCAGACACGGTGCATCATGCCGCATGCTAGGTATACGTGTGAGGAGAACTCCAGCTCCCCTCATCACGTGGGTCCTGGGCCTCTGTATTCTTTGGCACAGGTGATTGTGGGCATCATTCCACTGCGCAGGGCTCACATGCTGCCTCCTCCCCTGCCAGGAGGTGCACTGCCTGGCTTGCTCCCCGGGGTCAGCAGCTGCAGGAAGAAGAAATGGAAACTCTATTCATTGTCACCGAGTCTCTCTCTCTGCCAAGGAACAACTGATCCCTGAAACTGCTAGCAAAAGGAAGAGGCTTTCCAAGGACAGCAGAAGAGAGAGACAAACTGACCCGAATGATCAGCCTCCCTGGGGACAGGGCGTTGTCTGGAAGCAAAAACAGGAGTGCTTGTGCGGAGGGCAGCTGGGCTTCTGAGAGGAGCAATGTCCTGGACTCACTGAGTCAGAGATGCAGGATTCTTTCTGCAACAGGAGGTGATTTTATTCTTTCTAAAGATGTTACCTAAAATGTTACTGAAGTCGACGGAGATCAGCATCGGAATAAATCCTCGAGGAAACGATACCTGTAGAAAAGCCATAGGACGTCATCCATCATGGGCCTTCAGGGAGCACTGCTTCAACACGGGACTCCTACCAGGGCGCTGAGGCAAATACACCCTGGCTGTGCTGGAGGGCAGGTGAGCGCTCCGACTTCACCCTCAGGAAAGAAGCAAATAAATGGTTAAACAGTGGCCAAGTTTGCTACCAACAGATTCTCGCTGACGAGGATAGAAGGTGGTGGACTCAAAACAAAAAGAAAGCCACAGAGGAGTGCGTGAGATCCACCAAAGAGGAATGTGAGAAAAGGTGATGGCAAAACATGGCAGTATGGCAAAACCCTGTCAACTGCAAATAGCAGCAATATGTGGGGAGTAATGCTGGAGTGTGATTTAATTACATGACAATAAAAACAGAAAGGAAACCGAGAAGGAAATTGAAGATTTCTAAGATTCTTGTCTTATTAAGGAGAATCAAGAATTAATTTTAGAGTATGTTAAGAAACACATAAGTTTGAACATTTCATGTTACTCAGTAGTATTTTTATTTACAAAAATCCAAAAATATATAAGGTTAACACTGATTAATTCTGAATCCTGAGTGACTTTGACTTTTTCTGTATCTTAAAACTGTTGGGGCCTGGCACTGTGGCATAGTGGGTAAAACTGCCGCCTAAAGTGCCAGCATACCATATGGGCGCTGGTTTGAGTCCTGGATGTTCCACTTCTGATTCAGCTCTCTGCTATCACCTGGAAATCCAGTAGAAGATGGCCCAAGGACCATAGAAGGGGCCCAAGGACCCCTGAACCTGCCTGGGAGACCCGGAGGAAGCTCCTGGCTTCGGTTCGGTGCAGCTCTGGCTGTTGTGGCCAACTGGGGAGTGGACCAGTGTAGGGAAGACCTCTCTCTCTTCCTCTCCTTCTCTCTCTGTGTAACTCTGCCTTTCAAATAAATAAATAAAACTTCTTTTTAAATAAAAATGTTCTCAGGGGAAAAACAGGTAACTGCATTAGTAACAACTCAGGATTTGCTGAAAATAATAACAAGGAAATAGTAAAATAATATATACAGAAAGAGTAGAACCTAAGAGAAGCAAAAGTAATGCAAAAGAGACATGTCCTAGTTCTTCCATCTCTGTGACTACGGTCCCCCACAGAATTGTCAAGATTTATCATACAGCGTGATAACTCTCGTTAATGAAAATGTGTCATATTCTTAAAAATTGTTAGGAGAGCAAATGCTAATCTTTCTTATGATAAAAAATACTGCATATATTGATTGGCTCAATTTAACCATTCCACAATGTACACATATTCAAAAAACATGTACATGATGAACATGCTTATTTGTTAATTGAAATATAAACATTTTTACAAAAAGAATTTCAATAAGCAGAATTCCTGGTGTTTTCTTTTTCTTTTTCTAAAGATTTTATTTATTTATTTGAGAGGTAGAGTTACAGACAGTGAGAGGAAGAGACAGAGAGGAAGGTCTTCGATCTGCTGGTTGACTCCCCAAATGGACACAACAGCTAGAGCTAGGGCCAATCCAAATCTAGGAGCCAGGAGCCAGGAGCCGGGAGCTTCTTCTAGGTCTCCCATGCACGTGCAGGGGCCAAGAACTTGGACCATCTTCTACTGCTTTCCCAGGCCATAGCTGAGAGCTGGATCGGAAGAGGAGCAGCCAGTTCTAGAACCGGCACCCATATGGGATGCTGATGTTGCAGGTCGAGGCTTAACCTGCTGCACCACAGCGCCAGCCCCATGGTGTTTTCTCCTGAAATGGAAAGCAAGTCCAGATTGCTCACTTTTGTCCGAGCTCATTTAGGATGAGAATTCCAGTCTTCTTTCTTTTGTAATGATGTCCCAAGTTAAAAATTCTCTCCAAGGGCCTGCACTGTGGTATAGCGGGTTAAAGCTCCAGCCTGCAGTGCCGGCATCCCACATGGTCGTCAGTCCGAGTCCCGACTGCTCCTTTTCTGATCCAGCTCTCTGCTATGGCCTGGGAAAGCAGTGGAAGATGGCCCAAGTTTTTGGGCCCCTGAACCCACCTGGGAGACCTGGAAGAAGCTCCTGGCTTTGGATCAGCTCAGCTCTGGCCATTGAGATCAATTAGGGAGTGAACCAGCAGAATGGAAGACCTCTCTTTCTCTCTCTTCCTCTCCTTCTCTCTCTGTGTAGCTCTGACTTTCAAATAAATAAAATAATTCTTTTAAAATAAAGTTTCTCCAAGTATTCTTTTAGAACCTAGTTGGACACTTGGCTGCAGGACTGCTACTTAACTGTTCAATTAGGATTCTGGAACCCAGGATAGGCAGCCCGTGAATGAATTGGCTCAACCGTTCTCTGAAATCTGACAGATGGCTTCTGATTATCTTCTGGAAGGCAGCAGGTGGCAGGAACATGAAGGATGCAGTCGGCCTTCTTGGGTCTATTCCATGTGCTGTGCTGAGACACTTGGCCTTTGAAAAACGCTTCTGTGGTTAAGAATGACCTTCAGGACCAAATGTATTTTGTAGAATTAATTGCTGAAGATACAGTTTATATAAAAACACAGCAAATTGCATTTCTAGAGAGTATAGGTAATGACTGTGATCTCTCTTGGGTCTCATAAAGACTAGGAGAAAGATAACTTGTGGGCTTTTCTCTGCTCTTAGAATGTGGAGAATACCTTTTGTAGAATCTAGCAACCCCCAAACCTGAGCACGACCGTCATCTGTTGAACATTTCATTTTAGGTGTGTAACGTCCCTCCTGAGATTTTCTTCTCCACCCGGTGGGCATCCATGTGGCCTAGGTAGCTATCTATTAAGGCATGTAGTTTTTGTCCCCTAGAGCCTATGCATCCTGGGTCTTAGGCTCTTGGTCTGTCTTATTTCCTCAAACAGAATGTAGCTCACAGAATAGCCTAGAGCAGGGCTGGGCACATAGATTTCTATGAAGACTCCCAAGTTTCCTGCACTGAGTCTCATTGTGGCCACTGAGGAGGCAGAAGATGAAAGCTAAACCTCAGAAAAAAATTGATAAAATACTAGCAGATTGGGTTTAACCTCAGTAGGGAAGAAATTTTATTTTTCCTCTTGATTCTTAGCCCTTTTCTACATTGAGGGCTGCATAGACAGGGAGGATTTGCTTTTTTTTTCCTGTCTAATATTTTTATTACAATGATGATGATTGGGAAGGTTTTCATATTTTCAGTTTTGAGAAAAGTATAGAATTTTTTTTTAGTTCTTAGGCCTTCTTTATACTTCCTATGAGACTTTCAAAATTCAAATTTGATGTAACTTTGATATATTTAACTAGACACCCACACCTGGTATTTAACTCCTCTGTCTCTTCCAGCTCCACCCAGACCCCTGACCTTGAAAAGATATGTTCAGTCCAAAGTCATTGTTGTCTCCACAGAAAAGCTTCTAGGTATTTCCTTACCAGTGCTTTTCTATTTTCAGTCTAATATATATTTGTTATTGTCTTTGTTTGAGAGACTTCTTTATTTATTTGAAAGGCAGAGTGACATAGAGAGAAGGAGAGAGAGAGAGAGAGAGAGAGGTCTTCTATCCGCTGGTTCACTCCTCAATTGGCTGCAATGGCCAAAGCTGCACCGATCTGAAACCAAGAGCCAGGAGCTTCTTCTCGGTCTCCCATGTGGGTCCAGGGGTCCAAGGACTTGGACCATCTTCTACTGCTTTCCCTGTGCATAGCAGAGAGCTAGATCAGAAGTGGAGCAGCCTGGACTTGAACCCATGTGGTATGTCGGCACTGCAGGCAGCAGCTTTACCCTCCATGCCACAGCGCCAGCCCATGTATTTGTCATTTTCATAAAAAACTGTATTTATATCTGTTAATTTGTCATTTGCAAGGAACTCCTTTGAGCAATAGATAATACTGCATATACTGCATAGGTGAACAGGGAAGACATAACTTTCTGTTAGTTTTAACAAGTGGAGAAACTGAGGATCACAGAGATAAGATATGCACTCAGAACAAGCAGCTAGTAAATTACTGGAGTAGATCTTTAGGCTCCTAAAATGACATACATTGCACTGAACTAATTTATGAAAGAATTTATAAAAGCTTTAAGGACAATTACATGGCAATGAAGGCTCAAAGTGACCAACACTTTGATTGTTCATATACAACTAGGCACCTCTTTTGTCTACAAAAAGGACATTGGCTTCTAAATCTCAACTCATGTTATCCATCCAGTGGAGAAGACCCTACTTGACCCACTATGCTCCCTCCAGCTGCCCAGCATGTCCTAAAGGGGAACCCAATTTGGCAATCTTGTTCTACTAGATGGAGCTTTGAGGGGGGAAACCATACAGGTATAGATCTAAACAAAGAGGAGGGTTGAGAAGACAAGAACTGTTATCCTGGGAATTTTGGCTGGAAATCATCATGTTATAGGCAAGATCCTGCAGAGATGGTCCATAGTGTCCTGACTTGGCCAGCCCTTGAGTGAAATGAACGTTGGATGTGAGTACTTGTGTGTGTACACCACGGGTGTGTGTGGTTCTCACTCATTCATTATTTCATCAATTCATCTGGAGAGTAGGCATTGCCAACTGACTATAGAGAGAAGGGAATTGAGACCCAGCTATCTTGCTGAAGGGCAGGCAACATTTAGATGACACCTTTGACATTAGGAAATATATCTGTTTAAACCTAAAACTCATATCCAGACCACTCCTTTGGGGCTGTATAGGAGGCAACTGAGAAGCATGGTTAGGACTATGGTGAGGGAGGACCTAGGCACCTTGCTATGGAGACCAGAATGACTTTAGGCTTAACATATTTTGTCAAGCTCAGGGGGTCTGAATGTAGCTGGAAGACACAGAAGATTTAAATATGAGGTATAGGTGTCCAGGGAAAATGGTGAAAATAGCTATTGTATAGCCATATCAAATATAATTGTGTGCTGGTATCTATTTCATTGTTCACAACATACTCTTAAATGATTGTTAAAAACATTATCCTAATTAAGCCAAATGGTCACTTTTTAGGAATGAGATTTCATACACTTTCTTGTTCCCATAAATTATAAGGAAGTTTTAAAAATACTCATTACTCATTATAAGTTTCTAAAGGAATTACACCTTTTGTTTAGAAATCAACTTGAATGAATAAATATCTAAATACGCTTACTTCAGATTAATTTTGAGTGTTAGAGCTAGAACCCAGGGGGACGTCACTGGGCCCACATTCTGCCTCTGAAAGGACCTCTGCTTAAACAGATCCAGACCTGCCTAATGGCAGCAGCTCTCAACGGGGGGTGATTTCGTGTCTATCCTCCAGCCTCCAGGAGTATTTGGCAACCTCCGGAGATGCTTTGGGTTGTCACAATTGAAGTGTGCTTGTGTCATCTAGTGGATAGGGCCAGGGGTGTTGACAGACTTCTGACAATGAAAAGACAGCCCTCCATAACAAAGAAAGGTCTCCTTCAAAATATCAATATGCCAATACCCTTCCTCACTGAAAGGACAAAACAGGAGGCCATTCTTAGAACAAATAAGTAGGATACAGGCACTCAGCACACCCCTAATTCTCATCTCTATTACTTTCCAGGTATAATACACCAAAGCTAGCAGAGAAGGTGACCAGGCTAATACCGGACCTAAAATGCAATATGCATTTTATTATGCTCACCTCAGCCTGACCCTTGACCAATTTCCATGTGTTTCTGCAACACGATAAAATCCAGCTCCGTCAAATCACTTCTCTTCAATATGCCTGTAGCTAAGCACTACCACTTATGGTGCATTCAGGTGTCTAGGCAATATGTTCATGCATAATGCACATCTTAAAAAATAATGACATTCTGGTCAGCAAGTTCCCTATCAGCCTACTGCAGGAAATGAATAACTGCTCTGAGCAGCTGTTCTAACCACTGACTCCAACAAACAATACTGAAATATTAAACTGCAGATTACTATCTTTGAGGAAAATAATCTCTTTAAAATTATCCATTCCCTGATTTCAATGAGAAAATTGATAGTGTGGAGGTTGATGGCCAAAGAACTAATCATGTCTTGTAGTTTCCATTTCTGGTTAGAAAGATGTTTCAGGATTTACAAATCTGTACTCCAATTCAGAGATTTGGAAAAACTGAGACAGCAGAACAAAAGGTTAATCTGAGGAATTGACGGACAGACCTGTGATCTTTTCCCAGCTATGCCCTCAGAGAGCCTCACTGCTGCCTTTGCTGCTTTAGGATGAGCACTAGACAAGAGCCAGGAAAGCTGAGCTCAAGTAGGGACTACACCTCCCATCACCTCTACCCGGTGACTTACAAACCATTTAAAGCATTCTGTGTGCCATTCACCAGTAACCTCCGTTAACCTGGCCAAATGTTCTGCTTGTACCAGTGAGCAAGATCACTGACCAGCAAGAAAAATATTCTCATTCCCAGAGTTTACCACAGTCTGAGGGTACTTGGAGATGGTCAGAGGCAGCAAGGGAAGGGGTCAGATCCCAGCAATGCTGGAAGCCAGCACCTTTGCCCAATTTGCTGCTGACTTACTCATTGTGTCTGCTCCGGGACAGTTCCCTCATGATTCAACAAGTAGGCCTCTGTAGATGGCCCTGAGCTGCCCCAGCCTTCACATCCAGGCAGTCCATGGGGCAGCAAGGGCCTTGGGGTTACTGTCTTGAGCCCTTTTCTCCTGTCCATCTGACGAGGGCCTGGGGAGGGGGGTACTGCCTCCTGAGGCTCTCTTCAAGGTGGGGTTCACCAAACTATAATTGGTAAAACTTAAGCTGATCCCGAACAGGGCTTTACAAATCCAAACTCAAATCATGGGGAGTGGGAACAATGGGAGGAGACAATGATGTGAGAATAGACAATGTTTGCTTAGGGAACGGGAAGCAGTTCAGTCTTGTGCAGTATGTTGTGTGTGGAGGAAAGGAAAGAGGGAGGGGTTGAAGTCAGGTTGCAGAAACTGTTAGATGTTGAGCAAAGGAGTCTGGACTTCACATTGCCTTGTCCAGACTTAGAATTTATGGGTTCACACATCTGATTCCTCAGCTAGGTGGTAGGATCCTCAGCGTCAGAGACTCTTTCCTCTCATTCTGTCCTCAAGCTCAGAAGTGGCTGAGGTTGACACAGGGTAGAGGGCCTACCTGTTACTTTGAGCTATGGCTGCTGTAGCAGAGAATACCCTTTAGGCTTGCCACAGGTCATTGTGAACTGGGCTCCATGTAATGAACATGGAGCAAGAACTGGCATCAAACGAGATACTTGGCCAAGAAGCAGGTGAAATGCACATGTGATATATCCTGCCTTCATTTGCTTCTGAATCTTTGAATTTCTATTCTTCATATTCATCCAAAAGCAGTTCCATGTGTGAAGTCAGGGAAAGGTAGAGGCATTGGAGGACTGGTCCACAACCTGATTAGACAGAAGTCTGTTCTAGGGCAGAATCAGTGCCCAGCATTATCTGGAGCTGGTCAGCTTTGAGTACCCAGAGCCCTTCCCAGGACAGAATCACTGGGAGTTTTGTTGGGTGACAGGGGGAGCGGGAATGGACAAGGGAAGGGGGTCTGGGGGTAGCAGGAGTGAGGAGATGTGAAGCTCCTTGGACATGCTTCCTTCTCTGTGTAAGCAAAAGCAGGTTCTTCTACTTGGAGTCTCCAGTTACATACCCTTAAATAGGGATTGTA